ACGCTTAATCACACACAGTCCCGCTGCTTCGTCCGTCTGAGCGACGCCTGGCGTACCGAGTTTGGCGATGAGGCTGAGCTCCTCGACTGGGTGGAGCTGCTTGGGCAGAGGGTAGATATATTTGCTCTTGACTATCATGCTATTCTCGCTGCCATGTATGCATTGCCTACTAGTGCTGACCGTGCTGTCAACATATATCTTATATGTGTTGTTTAGGTTAGTCTAGGTGTTACATTTCTACTTGCTTGCATGATTAGGGTTTGCTATATCTAGGGTTGTACTTCACATTTTCTATCAATCTCATTCTTATCTTAACATGGTATAGAGCAAGGTTTCCCCTAGGCGATTTTTCCCCTAGGCAAAATTTCTCTCGATAGTCTATGGGCCCACCACCCGCGCGCCTCGTAGCGACCCGGAGCTCGAAGCGCCCTGCCCCGTAGAGCCCGAGTAGGTCGCGCCCCCCCGTCGCCATCGCGTCACCCGTTTCTGCCCTGCGCCCCACCCGTTTGTGCCGTGCGTCACTCGGTTTTCTGCCCCGCGCCCCACTCGTTTTACCCCGCGTGTTGCCCCCCAGTCCTCTAGCGCGTAGCAGACGAATGCGCGTAGCTGCGCGCGCAGCCTTAGTCGCACCCGCAGCTCCGCGCTAGTACGTCGTAGCCGCGCGCACGCGCAGCCCACCGTCGTAACCGGCCCCCAGACCCGAAATCCCCCTCAGAACCGCACAGAACCGCCGCCCCAGACCTGACAACCGCCGCCCCACCTGGAAACCTGCTGCCCCACCCGTTCCAAGCACCTCACCCGGGATCAGCCGCCCCACCCAGTCCTCTCCACCACATTGAACCGCATAGAACTGCACATAACTGCACAGAACCGCACAGAACCGCAGCCTTAACAGCTTCCCCACCTGAAAACCGCCGCCCCAGACCTGACAACCGCCGCCCCACCTGGAAACCTGTTGCCCCACCCGTTCCAGGCACCTCACCCGCGATCAGCCGCCCCACCCAATCCTCTTCACCGCATTGAACCGCACAGAACCGCACAGAACTGCACATAACCGCACAGAACCGCACAGAACCGCCGCCTCACCTTCCCCACCCGTAGCCTGCTGCCTTAACAGCTTTCCCACCTGAAACCCGCCTCCCCACGAGCTGCCACACCCGCCGCCAGTAGCCCCAGCCGATTACACTGCCGCCAGCAGTGCCAGCAGCAGCGTAGGCTGCCCCCAGCAGAACCAGACGCAGCATAGGCTGCCGCCAGCGCACTAGTAGCAGCATAGGCTGCCCCCAGCGAACCAGTAGCAGCATAGGCTCCCCCCAGCGCACTAGAAGCAGCTTAGGCTACTGCCAGCGCACCAGCAGCAGCAGAGGCTGCCCCCAGCGCACCAGCAGCAGCGTAGGCTGCCCCCAGCAGAACCAAAAGCAGCATAGGCTGCCGCCAGCGCACCAGCAGCAGCATAGGCTGCCCCCAGCGAACCAGCAGCAGCATAGGCTGCCCCCAGCGCACCAGCAGCAGCTTAGGCTACCGCCAGCGCACCAGCAGCAGCACAGGCTGCCCCCAGCGAACCAGCGGCAGCATAGGCTGCCCCCGGCGCACCAGCAGCAGCTTAGGCTACCGCCAGCGCACCAGCAGCAGCTTAGGCTGCCCCCAGCAGAACCAGCAGCAGCATAGGCTCTCATGGCGTGTACTAGGGTTCTACAGCAGCAGGGCCAGCCACAGCACTCCCGTCAGTGGGGGCCTGCGGGTCCAAAGTGTGGCGCCCCCAGTAGTGGCTCAGCTAGCAGTGGGCGAGACGTCGGCCCCTGCGGGTACCGGGCCCTGACAGGCCCTGATGCTGGTACTACCTGCTGGAGTCCTAACCACACTGCGTCTAGCTGCTACCGTCAACTCGACGACCTCCACCGTGAGCGTTTTGGTCCTCACGCTATTACACCGCACTGGCCTTCGCGCCTTCGCCAGCGCACTACTGCACCAGTTGAGTCTCACCTACCTGGTCTAGGACCTTTTTCGGCTACACGAGTAGAGACCTGTGTTTCCAGTCTTGGTGCGTGTGTTGTTTCCAGTCCAGGCGCCTCTGAGGGTCTTTGTGTAGGAGCTGCAGCTACCACTAGTCTAGCACTAGCCTTTGTAGCTGGTTCGGGTGCGACCCCACAGACTGCACAGCTTTCCTTCACCCTAGACGCTGGAGCGTCCAGCTGTTTCTTTCGCGACTGTACTGACCTCACACCACTGCGCACTCCAGTCACTGTCGCCTTGGCTGACCCCTCTGTGGGACGTGTAGTTGCTAGCAGCACCACCACTCTTCCGTGTCCGGCGGCTCCCTCAGGTTTTCTTACAGGTTACTACACCCCCTCGTTCTCTAGGAACCTGGTGGGTGTCAGTCACCTCCACGACCTAGGCGTAGTCACTACTTTCCCACTGGACGAGCCTGTTGCCTCCTGCACCGTCGATGCCACTTGGGCGCCTCTGGCCACTTTCCACAGAGAGCCGAGATCTGGTCTGTACTCACTACACACTGGGTCCCACCACACTGAGTCGGGTCAGGTCAGGTCAGGTCAGGTAGCTGCTGTGTCGTGCGACTGTCGGTCACTCACCCACCCGTCAGTCCTTTGGCACCACCGTCTAGGTCACCCGTCGTTCCCATGTCTTAGTAGGATGGTACGTCACCGTCTGGTCTCAGGTCTCCCAGCGTCGCTTGCACCGCTTCCTCGCTCGCCTGCGCCGCCGTGCACTCCTTGCGTCGAGGGTCGGCAGCGCGCCGCCCCTCACTCCTCCTCGTTTCCCCCGACCACGGCTCCCTTCCAGACCCTGCACTTGGACGTTTGGGGCCCCTCCCCTGTACCTGGCCCACGTCAGGAACGCTACTTCCTGATTGTGGTGGACGACTATTCCCGCTACACCACGGTTTTCCCCTTGCGACGGAAGGCCGACGTGCCTACCGTCCTCGAGCCGTGGCTCCTAGCGTGGGGTGGCGCCCAGGGCCTGTGTGGGCTTCGCCTACACTCGGACCGTGGTGGTGAGTTCTCTTCCACTCGCCTAGAGACGTTCCGTCAGAGTCGGGGAGTCATTCACTCGTACACGCTACCAGCATCGCCGCAGCAGAACGGGGTAGCCGAGCGTCGCATCGGCATGGTCATAGAGGTTGCCCGGACCTCCATGTGCCATGGCGGTGCCCCTCAGTTCTTGTGGCCTCAGGCAGTCCGCTACGCCGCGCACCAGCTGAACCTGTGGCCCAGTGACGCACGGCCACGGGTGACACCGGTCTATCTCTGGTCAGGTTTACAGGGCGTAGCAGCTGACTTCTGCGTCTGGGGTTGTCTGGCCCACGTTCGCGCCCCTGGCGCGAACAAGTTGTCTACGCGCACTCGTGCCTGCGTCTTTCTTGGCTTCCCTTTGGACGCCTCCGGCAGGGTGTTCTACGACCCGGTCACCTGCGGGTTCTTCGCTTCTCAGGACGTCACGTTCGATGAGTCTGTCTGTTACTACAGGAGTCGCCCCCACCGAGGTACTGAGGTCTTTTCCCCCCCGCTGTTCCTCACCCTTGAGCACCCACGAGCTCCTGCAGCCCCAGCACTCGCACCCTCCGCAACTGCACCTCCCGCACCCCCCACAGCACGAGAGGGTAGAGCAGGAGTCCTGGTCGCAGCAGCGGGTGCAGCTGCAGCCGCAGCAGGAGAGGGTAGAGGAGGAGTCACGGCCGCACCAGGAGAGGGTAGAGCAGGAGTCCAGCCCGCAGCAGCAGGTGCAGTTACAGACCCAGCAGGAGAGAGTTCAGGAGGAGTCATGGCCGCACCAGGAGAGGGTAGAGCAGGAGCCCCACCCGCAGCAGCAGGCGCAGTTACAGGCCCAGCAGGAGAGAGTAGCGCGGGAGTCCCGCTCGCAGCAGCGGGTGCAGCTGCAGTCGCAGCGGGAGAGGGCAGAGGCGGAGCCACAAGAGCAGCAGCAGGGGCCGGTGCCGTCGCAGCAGACGCCAGAGGAGGCGGAGCAGCACCTACTGCGACTACACGACCTCCCCGACCCAGCACCTGCACGCTTTGTTCGTGGTCCCCTACCGTCCCCTCCTGTTCCCCCTGTTGAGTCCCTTTCCTCCTCCCAGTGGACTCGTCGTTCTCCCCTCAGCCGTGCTGTGTCCCGAGAGCGTCGTCGGTCCCGTTACCGTGCAGACGGTCCGTTCCACCTTGTTCTCCGCTCTCGTGTTCCACCTCCTGCTGTCCTTCCACAGCCCCCTGAGTCGTTCCTCACTGTGCTTCACGACCCGTTGTCCGACTACCTCCGTGCCTCCCGTCCTGTAGTCTCCCGTGTTTTGTCCGCGTTGGTCACTCACCCGACTGCACCTCTGTCGTCTGTTTCGGCACTTGTTACCACTGTCGCTGGCTTTGCCTCTTCCCACCGCCTTGACTACGCCGCTCACTTGGTGAGTGGCCCTGCTGTCAGAGGTCCACTGGTGATCCCCGATTGATCCTAGGGAAGGGTTACAGGCATGTTGGCCTGGGGGGTTATGGGCGCACTCACCCACTACACAAACAAGCCCTTTTATCCCAATGGTCTAGTGGTTGGGATTCTGACATGTTATCAGAGTGAAGGTCTCGGGTTCGAATCCCAGTGTGTGCACTTCGGGCATCCCAGTGCGGGGGGGTGTCAGAGGTCCACTGGTGATCCCCGATTGATCCTAGGGAAGGGTTACTGGCACGTTGGCCTGGGGGGTTATGGGCGCACTCACCCGCTACACAAACAAGCCCTTTTTTCCCAATGGTCTAGTGGTTGGGATTCTGACACCTGCTCGTTCTCCGTTCTCTGGGGGTGCTCCTGTTTTTCCCTTAGAGGTCCTTGAGGACAGGCAGTTCGAGCTTGGTTTTCTTGCAGCCGCTGTTCCTCATCTCTGCGCCATGTTGCTTGCCCCTGAGGGGGATCCAGACGCTCTTGACATCCCGATCCCTCGCACTCACGCCGAGGCGGTCTTGGGACCCTGGGCTTCGTACTGGATAGCAGCTGAGGAGGCAGAGATGGCATCTTGTAGGTCCACAGGCACTTACGTCGACGCAGTCCCACCACCTGGGACGAACGTCGTCAGTGGCCGATGGCTCTACAAGGTGAAGCGGCCGCCTGGATCACCACGTGTGTTCAAGGCGCGCTATGTGGCGAGAGGCTTCAGTCAGCGAGAGGGGGTGGACTTCTTCCAGACCTTCGCTCCCACCCCGAAGATGAGTACTCTTCGGGTGTTGCTGCATATTGCAGCCCAGCACGACTACGAGTTGCACTCCTTGGACTTCTCCACCGCGTTCCTTCAGGGGAGCCTGCACGAGCAGATCTGGCTGCGTCGCCCGCCTGGCTTCACTGGCTCTTTCCCACCTGGGACCCAGTGGCAGCTGCGTCGACCAGTCTACGGCCTGCGTCAGGCTCCACGTGAGTGGCACGACACACTTCGCTCGACCCTTGCAGCGCTTGACTTCTTTCCGTCGTCTGCTGACCCGTCACTGTTCGTTCGCTGTGGTTCGACCCCGTTCTTTGTCCTGGTCTACGTCGACGACCTGGTGTTCGCCACTCCCGACCGACGCGCGCTGGCCTCCGTGAAGGAGGAACTGCAGAGGAGACACACTTGCACTGACCTTGGTGAGCTGCAGCACTACCTTGGCCTGTAGATCACCAGGGACAGGGCAGCTCGCACCATTACGCTGACTCAGTCGCATATGGTCGAGCAGATCCTCACGCGGTTTCGCTTCCCATTCTCCAAGGTACAGCTCACCCGTCTTGGTGTGGATCATGGGCTCACGGCTCCACCTTCGGACGAGTCATTTGAGTCCAGTGGTCCATAACCTGAGCTGGTGGGTTGTCTCATGTACCTGATGACCTGTACTCGCCCAGACCTAGCTTACCCTCTTAGCGTACTTGCGCGCTTTGTTGCGCCTGGGAGACACCGACCGTCCCACTGGTGCGCTGCTAAGAGGGTGGCGAAGTCTGTGGCGAGTACATCAGGCATGGGACTTGTCCTTGGAGGGAAGCAGCCAGTTACACTTACAGGTTACTCGGACTCGTCGTGGGTCGACGACGCGGAGACGCGTCGGTCTACACAGGGGTACTCCTTTAGCCTCGGGGCAGGTGTTGTTTCGTGGCGGTCGACTCGGGCGTCGTCAGTCGCTGGTTCCAGCTGTGAGGCAGAGGTGTACGCTGCGGCCATGGCCGCTCAGGAGCTTCGCTGGCTGTCTTTCCTTCTCACCGACCTTGGTGAGCGGCCTCGCTCTCCCCTAGTCTTGTTCGCCGACAACAGGTCTGCCGTCCTGTTGTGTGAGGAGCCCCGACTGGTTGGGAAGGCGAAGCACATTCAGCTTCGTTATTTCCTTCTGCGTGAGTTGCACCAGCGTGGTCAGGCACTCGTTCGACGTGTGGTCTCTGAGGCCAACACTGCAGATATCTTCACCAAGGCGTTGCCGCCTTGTGATCACCAGCGTTTCTGCACCCAGCTTGGCCTTGTGCGGGCCCGTCCTCACTTGCTTACGTAGATGCTTTGTCCTTATTGTCTTGTACTCTTGCATCTCAATATATTTGCTATATACCTGCATGTGAACTGGCCTTGTGGCTCTTTTGCTTGCTCTCGGACTGTGTGGTGACTTTGAGCTCCACCCTGAGATTTGTCTTGTTCTTGTGGACTGGTCTTGTGACCCTTGCTTGTTCTTGTTCTTGCTGACTGGTCATGTGACCCTTGTTTGCTCTCAGACTTTGTGTGTCCTTGAGACCCACCCTGAGATATGTGTTGTCTTTCCACGGGGTTACCGTCACCTAGACTATGGGGGTGTGTCAACATATATCTTATATGTGTTGTTTAGGTTAGTCTAGGTGTTACATTTCTACTTCCTTGCATGATTAGGGTTTGCTATATCTAGGGTTGTACTTCACATTTTCTATCAATTTCATTCTTATCTTAACACGTGCCTGCTACCTGTGCGTACCGCCTGACCTAGGTATAGAGCCTGCTGCTCTCGGTGCTGGTGGGGCTGCTGATCTAGGTGCTCGTGCGTCGCCTGCTCTAGGTGCTGGTGAGGCTGCTGCTCTAGGTGCTAGTGCGTCTCTTGCTCTGGGTGCTGGTGAGGCTGCTGCTCCAGGTGCTGGTGAGTCTGCTCTCTCTGGTACTGCGCCTACTGAGGCCTTGTACAACTTCACACTTGACTCTGGTGCTTTTCGCTCCTTCTTTCGCGACAGCACCACCCTCACGCCGCTCAGTCGACCGGTTGCAGTCTCCCTGGCAGACCCCTCTGGAGGCCCAGTCCGTGCAACCTCCACCACTATCCTCCCTTGTCCTGCTGTCCCGTCCGGCACACATTCGGGTCTTTACCTCCCCTCGTTCTCTACGAACTTGGTGGCGGGTTCTGCGCTCCAGGACGCGGGTGTTCACCAGTTCACCCCTGCCTACGAGCGTGTGACACACTGCACGTGTGCTCAGACGGGTCGTCACCTGGCTACCTTCACTCGTCAGGTCAGTTGTCGGCCCCCTGCTCCTGTCGCGCCTTGTCGCACCAGACCCTCCTTTGGCACCACCTCCTTGGTCACCCCTCAGTGCAGCGTCTTCGCAGCATGCACCGCTGTGTCCTTGTCTCTCGTCTTCCCAGGGTTCTTCCTCCCCTCCCACCCTCGCCTGCTCCTCCTTGTCTTCCTTGTGTCGAGGGGCGGCAGCGCGCCGCTCCTCACTCCTCCTCGTTCCCTCCCACAGAGGCTCCCCTGCAGACTCTCCACCTGGACGTGTGGGGCCCAGCCCGCGTCCGTGGACCGGGCCACGAGCGGTACTTCCTGCTGGTCGTCGACAACTACACGCGTTACACCACGGTCTTCCCCTTGTAGCACAAGGGGGATGTCCCTGATGTTTTGATCCCTTGGATCCGCGCTGTTCGTCTCCAGCTCCGCGAGCGGTTCCAGTCGGACTTTCCTGTCCTGCGTCTACACTCTGACAGAGGTGGTGAGTTCTCTTCAGACCTCTTGGCAGCCTTCTGTGCGGAGCACGGCATCCGCCAGACGTTCACGCTTCCGGCCTCTCCGCAGCAGAATGGGGTTGCTAAGCACCGCATTGGCTTAGTCATGGAGGTCGCTCGTACCTCCATGATCCATGCGGCTGCCCCCCATTTTCTGTGGCCGTTTGCGGTCCGGTACGCCGCGCATCAGCTCAACCTCTGGCCCCGTGTCTCCTTGCCGGAGACCTCGCCCACACTGCTGTGGACGGGGAAGGTTGGCGATGCGTCGCGTTTCCGGGTCTGGGGTGCTCGTGCCTTTGTCCGCGATACCACCGCGGACAAGCTCTCCGCCCGCGCTGTTCCCTGTGTCTTCCTTGGCTTTGTCCCTGACGCGCCTGGTTGGCAGTTTTACCACCCCTCCTCGCGCCGTGTCTTCCCCTCTCAGGACGTCACGTTCGACGAGCCGGTTCCCTTTTACCGTCTCTTCCCCTACCGCACTGCCCCTCTCCCCCCCCCCCCCTCGCCGCTCTTCCTCGCTCCAGGTGCTCCCCAGGTAGACCCCCTCCCCGCTCCCGGTCTTGCTCCTTCAGGTGTGTCTCAGGTAGACCCTCCCCCCTTGACTGCGCCGGTTGAGGTCACTAGTGACTCAGGTCCTGCTGAGGGTGGTCCTGCTCGGGGTGCTGCTTCTGGGGGTGCTGAGCCTGGGAGTGCGGAACCTGGGGGTGCTGAGCCTGGGGGTGCTGAGCCTGGGGGTGCGGAGCCTGGAGGTGCGGAGCTTGGGGGTGCGGAGACTAGAGGTGCTGAGCCTGGGTGTGAGGAGTCTGGGGGTGCTGTGCCTAGGGGTACTGAGTTTGGGGGTGCTGCACCTGGAGACGCTGAGGCGTCTGGTGAGCAGTCTCCCTGGAGCGGCTGTCTGCGTAGTCGCTCCGCTGGTGCCTCGCCGCTGCGCTCTCGTCGTCGACTCCCTCTTTCCCCACAGCAGCTGCGTGAGTGGTACGCTGGCCGTCAGAGTCGCGCTGCTGGAGCTAGGGGCCCTGCTGCGGGAGGCGCTGGAGCTGGTGACTCTCCTACTGGAGTTGTTTCTGCTGGAGGTTCTGGAGCTGCTGAGGGTGCTGGAGCTGGAGGTTCTAGAGCTGCTGCGGGTGCTGGAGCTGGAGGTTCTGGAGCTGCTGCGGGCGCTGGCGCTGGAGGTTCTGGAGCTGCTGCGGGTGCTGACGCTGAGAATTCTGAGTCTGCTGTTGCGCGGTCTCCTTGGAGTAGCCGCCTTTGTCCGCGTGTGCCTCTCACCTCACAGCAGCTGCACGACTGGTACGGTCGCCGTCAGGGTCGTGCTTCTAAAGCTCGGGGCTCTGCCGCTGGAGGTACTTCTGCTGACGTTACTGGAGCTGGGAGTGGTGCTGGTCCCAGAGGTGCTCGTACTGGAGGTACTGGAGCTGCTGGGGCTAGAGGTGCTGAGCCTGAGGGTGCTACTGCTGGAGACCCTGGGTCTGGGGGTGCTGCTGCTGGAGACACTGAGACTGGAGACCCTGGGACTGGAGGTGCCGGTTCTGGGGGTGCTACTGCTGGTGGAGCTGGTCCTGGAGGAGCTGGCGCTGAGGGTTCTGGAGCTGCTAGAGCTGCTGGGGGTGCTGGAGATGCTGGTGCTGGTGGCATTGCACAGCCCCGCCTGTTCTTTGCTCCACCGTCTCCGTCGTCTCAGCCACCGTCTGACTCTGTGCTTCGCCAGGTTCTTAGTCCCCCTTCGTCTACTGGTCTTCCGTTACAGCCTGGCTCACCGCTGCCTGCTCCTTCTCCTTACACTAAGCAGACAGGGGGTCTTACTGAGCGTCGTGAGCCTGCGTCGCGTCCTGTCTCGCCTGTCCGTTCTGGTCGTCCTGGTCGTCGTGTTCCTCGTTCGCGTCAGCCGGCTGTCACTGGCACCCACCTCGTAGTCCGTCGTCCTTCCTCTCCTCCGCAGCGTGTTCCCCTGCCGTCCCCTCCTGCGTCTTCTCTGCCTACCGTTCCTGAGCCTGAGTCTGACCGCACCCGTGCTGCTAACACTACTCTCACGCGTCTGCTAGCCACAGTTGTCACTGACCCGTCTTTTGAGTCTGCTGCTGCGTCTGCCCTAGTCACTGAGCTTGTTGACTTTGCTGCTGCCTGTCGTCTAGACTACGCCGCTAGTCTTGTTGCTGAGTCTGAGTCTGTCTGTCCTCCGTCCGTCGGGGGTGAGTGTGCTCTTGGCACGGACGTCCTTGAGGACAGGAAGGAGGACCTTGAGTGTCTTGCAGCCGCTGCGCCTCATCTCGTGTCCATGATGCTTGCCCCTGAGGGAGACCCGGATGCACCAGACATCCCGACCCCGCGCTCTTACGCTGAGGCGATCGCGGGTGAGTACTCCTCTCATTGGCAGACAGCCATGGACGCAGAGATGGCATCCTGGAAGTCCACAGGCACTTACGTTGACGAGGTTCCCCCTCCTGGGGCGAACATCGTCAGTGGCATGTGGATTTTTAGGGTGAAGCGGCCGCCAGGTTCTCCGCCTGTCTTCAAGGCTCGTTACGTTGCTCGAGGTTTCAGTCAGCGAGAGGGAGTAGACTTCTTTCAGACCTTCTCCCCCACCCCACAGATGACCACTCTTCGGGTGCTGCTGCACGTTGCCGCTCAGTGTGACTACGAGCTTCACTCTCTTGACTTCAGCACAACTTTCTTACAGGGCAGCC